CCCCTCCCCCCCCCCCCCCACCCACCAAACTACCTGTCTCTCCCTCTCTCCTCCTCCTCCTCCTTATTCAGCGCCCATGTACTTTTTAACCGTCCACGTTCTAATGGGAGCAACGGCTCTTTCGGCCGCCGACCATCTGTCGTGAGTGAAATGGTTTGTAGAAATTCAAGTCAGTCGAGAAATTCTGCTTCAACGTTAATTTCGAGTATTTACTTCTGCAAGATACTTAAAATTACGTGCGCGTGGATGGATTGCGAAATATCTGCAAATTCCCCCAAACGATTTGCCTTGTTTAAATTAGAAGAAGAAGAAAAAAAGAAAATCCTTTAAACTCCCGTCGCTGTCTGGCTCCTGGTAGATTGAGTTGGCGACACGCAAGTCGTATCTCCGACTAGGACGGAAGCGAAACGATCCCCCGGGAGAATGGCGAGTTTTTACGGGACGATATAAAGATTCGAAGATTCAATGGACCGCGAAACGGCTTGCCACGTCGGCTTTGACGGAAATTGGACTATTTTGAATTTGGTCTCCATAGTTTAAGACCTGTTTCATCTTTTATCTCCTTGTCTCTCTCTCTCTCTCTCTCTCTCTCTCTCTCTCTCTCTCTCTCTTCTTTCTTTACTGCTCTTTTCCTTCGATCAGAACCTTTTCTGCTGGCAAGGAATATCGCGAGTCTCGGCGATGCCGCTCGACAGCTGTGATACACGGCCGCGACGAATTTCGATCGGGAGAACCAGTTTCCGAAAGGGAGCAGCACGCCGGAACGAGAATCGGCCGCACTGGCCAACTAGACAAGCTCGAATTTACGGCGCTACTTGCGTCGAGTCAGACGTCCTTCGTCATAGGCGTCGGCAGCGGAGACGGAGGAACGTTCTGAAGTGTCTCCGCTGGTTTGACAAACGGCAACCGTGCACAAAGAAGAATTGTAGCTCATCTCGAGGACGTGTTTGGTTATAATTTGAGGTTCTGGGGGCAAATGTTCGGTGTCATCGAGCGTTAAACAAATATGCCGGCCGGCTGCTGCCATCCTGTTTCCTCTCCTTCGCTATTTGGAAAATGTTTCTGTGTTTAGTCTACATTAGTAGGCTTTCATAAAGTTCCATAGTAGCTGCGACAGCCCGGACAGCCCGGACGGACATAAACGAAGGAACGAGGGAACAGTAGTCCTTTTCGATTATTACGTCGCAGCTACCTGTCTCGCCTTCCGTGCTTCTGGAAATTCTCCTTCGGCTCTCGGCGAGGATCTTCGAGCGTCGCGAACGCCTCAACGGGAGGACGAAACGCGCGATAGAATTCTGCCTGGCGGAAAGCGTATTCCTTATCGAGGGAGTGGGATCGGTTTTTTAAAAAAAGCGACAAACGTATTTACGAAATATTTTAATTAGCTTATCGTCCAATCGCGACAGCTGTTGCCTCGCGCGTGCTTCTTCTAATTGGGCACTGAGTGCAGCCGCGTTCTCATGGCTTTGTCGCTCGTGCGACAAGCCTGGAAGGCCAGGAAAGGCGGAAAAGACAGGAAGACACGCGAAAAGTCAGAGGGCCGGGCATGTGCGAGTGAAGGATGCAAAGTGAATCTGGCGAGATCAGGGAGCACGTGGAGGCTCAAGTTTCTCAGCTGTTTCGATGGATCTGGGAAAAGGACTGAAAGGAGCAGAAGGACTCCTCCGGTAGCACGCGAGATAGGATCAGCCGCAGGAGGCGCGAAGGATCTTTCGCGAATTCCGAAGGCGACGCGGGCCAAAGTTGTTGTATTTTTTAAGATCTCGCCGCGCAGATAGTGTCATCGGACCAGTTTGCAGGCGAGGCACGCGTTTTCGGGAGCGTTTTTTAAATAATTCATAGGGCCCGAGCCGCGCAGGGCTCCTCGGCTGCTGGCTCCAGAAAATTAAAATATGCTCCGGGAGACGTTCTCGCGGCCAAGAAACTCGGCCGGTTCTTTGTATTCCGATCAGTCGAGCGAAAGGGTAGGAGACGCCGTCGCGACGCCTCTTCCTCTGGCTGCACTTTCACGTCCACTACGTTCTACTCTCCGACTATCTGGCTCTACCTGCTTCTCCTGCTTCTCCTGCTTCTTCCGCATCGAAGTCGATTGACTCTCCAAAGGGCTTCCTTGCGCGGAATCGGATGCTAGCAGGGCAACAGGGGCACCAGAGCCACGTGGAGGGTAGCAAGGAAGAAAGGAAGGAAGGCAGGAGAGTGTGGTAAAGAGAGAGGGTAGCAGGGAGGCAGCCAGGCAGCCAGGCAGCCAGGGTGGCTGGTTGCTTCATCTCCCTTGCACAGAGGGTGGAAAACGCCTGCTAACGAGCCCCTGAGAATTCCTACGCTTCCTCAATTAATTGCGCCCTCATTCGCGCCCCAAGTGCACCTCTTTCAGCGACGCATTCTCGATATTGACATTTGCCTTGCATCTCCGCGAAGCAACGAGAGGCTAGTTTTACTCCAGGCTAACCTGGCCCTCGTGCCTCGCTTAGGTAGACTGTTTGTTCTGCTCCGCTCTGCTGCTGCTACTGCAGGCCGACGCTTCCTTTCGCTTTGGAGTTTTCTGTTCCTGTCGTCGCTGTCGTCAGTCGTGGCTCTCTGCCTTTGCCGTTACTGCTGGAATGATTGAAGGTAAAGAGGGAGGGGAAGCGGGCTGCGACACACCCCTGTCTTTCGAGCGTGTACTTATCGACTACGCGACTACTTTTCCTAGGTGCTTTACCAAGACAGCCAGTCAGTCAGGCAAGCTGCGAGCGGGCGAGCAGGCGAGCAGGCGACCAGAGAGACAGACAGCCTCTGCCAGAGGAGTTCGCTAGCTGGATAGTCAGAGGTAGGAACGCGTGTACAAAGGAATTAGACCGTAATCGTTCACGCGTGCATCGCACAGGGGACGTTTTACCTCAGACCTCGATATTCACTGGCTCGAGAATCGACTCTGCCTGCCCATATTGTCATTCGATAAGGACGTGACTCCTTGCTCCGGGAAGGATGCCCATCTGCGATAAAGACGTTCGTCCTTCGCAGCCCTGGATCCAAAAGATTTACCCAGGGACTCGACGTTAATTAGAGGCTGCTGGGGACCTCGGGAGAGCAGCCACCCAGTTCAGGAGAGAGAGAGAGAGAGAGAGAGAGAGAGAGAGAGAGAGAGAGAGGGTCCTCGACGTAGTCGCAGCCAGCGTTCGCCGTTTCTCCAGAGTAAATAAACGAGGAGCCTTAACTTCCGCGGTTTATATTAAATTAACGGGGCTAAGATAAATATATCGTACTAAACGAAGGGAAGGTTAGTCCGCGAATTTAACGCGAATCCCACTGCCTCTTGCCTGCGGAAATCAACGTCCTTCACCGTCGTCAGGAAGAATCCTACAATTTATTCGACCTGCGAGGACGCGCCATTCCCACCCGATAAAAAGTTGTCGTCTCGCTCTCTTTTTTTTTTACGCAGCTCCTACGGGTCATAATTTAATTTTCTGAGCGGGTCGCGCAAAAAATCAATTTTCTCTTATTTTCCCCGGGGCGCCTGCGCATTCGTATTCTGCCCTTAGCCGAGCATGGGAAAACCGGAGGGGTTGCCTGACCCGATGGTCGGTAACGTCCATCATCCCTTTTGCCAGGTGCGAGTGACTCTGCTGCCTCCGACTGTCGGTAAGCGCGAATGCGTTTTTGACGCGTCGATAATTTTCCCAGAGCTCGCAGACGATAATGCAGTTTCTGTCTGTCCCTTATCATTTTCGATCGCGAAACGAATGTATTCGCACGATGCACAACTGCATTTTCACGATCACCTTACTGCAGTTACACGAAAAGCATTCTTATTGAGGAATGCACTTATAATTTTAAAATCGGAAGCCATTTAAAATTGCTTCAACTTATCGACGGTGCATGGCAACTTCGGCGCATTCATCAAATTTCCTACGGGGTTGGGAACGGGGAAACCCTGTGTCATCTACCTCCAAGGATAATCCGGGTCCAGCCGAAGCGAATTTCCGAGTATAACCGGAAATCGAAAATTCTATGTGGTCCAGTCAATTATACGAAGCACGTAAGGCCTTTCTCGATCACGCAGCTCGTAGTCGTGGGACTTTTCTTCTGGGTTCTATGGGTTCTATTGGACTTAATGAGTCCAATTGAGATTATATGGGTGCCTTGATTTTACGAGGCTGCCAGAAAACTCGTCGGCTCCCTTCGGCGATTGCTAAAGCTCTCCCTTCAAAGGACTTTACGTACTTTCCATTGATTAACGGCTTTCGTCCAATTGTGTTTCAGCACTTGTACCACCTGCAAACGGGCGAGGGAGCTTTTCGAGAGAGAGGCCGCGGTAGAGGCAAGGGTGCGACCAGGGTGAGTCATACAGAATCAGAATCTCACAGCATCCTTACGTTTTTTTTTTTTTTTTTTTTTTCCTACCTCAAAGGCCCTGCATATCCTCAAGTACGTAGTTTTCACGAACGCGCTTCCCTCTTTCTTTCCATATTCGAACTTGACTGACAACCAAGATACATTACCGATAGTGAGGATGCGAACAGCTGATACAGAAGAAAGTTAGATTCAAAGAATTTACTCAGCGAACGTGAATGGTACCTGAATGTTACGGTAACTGTTTGTGTTATCCAATTTTGGACACTGGATCCTTCATAGAGAAAATCTTTGGCTTTTAATAGATTTACCTATGGTAAATCACTGAGAAAATTCTCTACCATTCGACTCGTCGCGGATCAATGAGAGGAACTCCTCGGAGTTTCACTTTCTCGGAGTATTAATTACAAGTTCTGATTATTTCGAGAGGGAGGCCTCTTCAACTTCCGCGAGGTGAGACCCTCTTGAACTTCCGTGCTCCGCCTAGACTCGACAGATGGAGAAAGTACTTATCCAACTTTTGCATAACTCTCCCTCTGGTATAAATTGATTAATCGCTTAACTGACAGAAGCAACGGCAACTTCCGTTCTCCAGCCGATTTGGCTCTCTCTCTCTATATATCTCTTTCTTCGAAGACCTCAAATATAATGAACGAAAGAGCAAAACGGAAAAGTCCAAGAAGGACAGTCCGAGGAATCCCGGAAGGCAGACTCGCTCGAAGCGATCTTGACGCTGGCTGTACACAGTTTGAGAACTGATATTAAACAAGGCGCTATTGATCGGTCGGCGGTGCGCCTGTCCGTGCTACACCGCCATGTTTAAAATTTCCCCGCTTAAGCCGACCGGACGCCTGGTGGTTCAGGCTGCAACTGTAGTCCAACCCCCCGGTGCATTTCCCATGCGAATCCCACTTGAACCTTCCGCACCACTCCCGAGGCCGTCTCTTCCATCCAGCACAGCGTCTTCCTCGAGGCGTCCCGACGCTCCTGCTCCCATGCGCTTTAGTCCTGATACCAGTTGTCGAAACTCTGCCTCCTCGTGTCCTTATCATATTCTGATACTCCCTCGTCTCCCTTTGACTCCACTTCCGCCCTACGCGCCACTCGTGCTTCCACGTTTTGGCAAGGAAGCACGAAGCGCCGAGCAGAGATTTCTCCCGAGGGTCCCGAAAATCCCGAAAATCCCGAAAATCCCGAAAATCCCCAAAATCCCCGAGAAGACTATCAATGAAAAATGTATAGTCTCGTGTTTCCTTCGGTGTTTCATCACAACCTTTGCAACCTCCACTCACGGGAGGAGCACCAGCTCCGATGCCACCCCCAGCACCTCCAGCGGCACTGCTACCGTCACGAGTAAAGCAGCAGGGGTGACAGGGGGAGAGGAACGATTTATCGATCCCCCGAAGCGACATGCATGTGTGCCGCACGTGTCATCGCAGCCAGGGGTGGTATATACATATACATATTGTATATATATATATGTTCCTGACGAAGGGCTATTTTGTTTCCCGACCAGAGGCGCTCTTTTTCATCCGGCCTTTTCGAATCTACTCTACTATACGGTAGCCGTATCGCGAGTTCGTCGAGCCATTCGCCTGCTACCATCTGACCCTGGGATTATAAATTCGTATCCCGCAATGGAATTGGGAAATTGGTTGGGAGTCTGAGTTATGGCGCGTCGCACTTTAGCTGCAAGTAATTAGTTGGAGGTATGGCGCTCGGCAGGCAGCACTGCCGGCAGCTAAATTGCATTACCTCAGCTGCGCCATCTTGAATTCGCAAACAATATGTCGCTGGAAATGGAGGGAATATCGACCCTGCGGAATCGTGCCAATGGCAACTTTATTTTTCCTCACGTCGCAGCTGCTGCTTCCCTGAACTCTCTCTTGTCCTGTCATTCGCACAGCGTGCACTCTTCGCAGTTTTCCTCCAATTTTCATAGGTACGCGGCAACACGTAAACGTGCCCTTCCGACAGTATCAGCCAATTATCCGATATGTTAAGCTCCTGTCGTAGTTCCTGCTGTCGACTCGGGATACCGTAATTTACGACGATTAACGAGATTTTAATTACTGCCTGATGACATAATAAATTGCAAGCCGTTAGGCTTCCTATCGGAAACCCCCCC